AAAACCCCTCAAGAAATAAAAAAAGAGATTGCTCGACGCGGTTGAGATTATGAGAATAACTTGGAATTTAATGATCACCTTGTAGGATGGCCCAGTACCAAGAGGACAGAAGAGATGAGGTTTTGGTCAAGGGGGAGAGACTAGAAAAGATTGGCTTTGAAGAATATCTGAACTCTTAAATTATTTCAGCACTAGCTGTTTCTAACATGCACCAAAGTGTACTAGCATGGTGTTGACCTGCTTTGTACAATAGTCAATATTAAAGAGCATAAGCACGAGCACTAGGTTACATTGATGCTGGTCGGGAGCAAATGCATATTGAGACCGATGAATGAAAATCCATCATTCAAGATCACGTCGAACAGCCTTCTGCTTGTAATCTTGAGAAAGATGTGTTGTTCTTTCTTCCCTTATTTTTTTCTTTGATCTGGATTTCAGTGGCGCAAGAGTGTAGTTGTTCAAAATTAAACTACTGGTCTGTTTCTGCGGACCATTTTAATCTGCTTTGTGATTTAAAAGGATGAGAATTGCCAGTTTTGATATATGAGATTAAGGAGGAATATTGAACTTTTGCTGCATTCTTACATGCTTCCTGATGGACACTAATGGACCCGCCAGTTTATTGTTTAAACCATAAGTATGTATGAGAAAGTCCTGACAAATATTTGTAAATATTTAACGGTGAACCTAGTTATTATCATAAATTAACTTTATTTGTTGTAAGAAATTATAAACTTCAAATCTTAGATCTGCCTTAGTAGGGATGGTTTTGCAAGCCTGTGCCCTGTAGCATTAGCTTATTCTACAGAAGCACCACAATGCACGTCCAGAATAAATAACTAATTTTGGTCTCAGAAAAGCAACTTCCATGCAGATGAAGTTGATGGAAAATCAGAGTAAAGAAAGTTCGTGTCCATATTATTAATATAGTTGAGCTGAAAATGACACCACCAGCCTGTTGCCAATTTGCCAATCTTTGTTTTCACATTTGTTGGCTGATATCTATCTGTAAAACGTCTTCAAAATCACGTATCCACCGAGTCTTTTGACTCTTCGCATATGTTTTAATCAATCTAGCCAGCTGGTCTATAAAAAGGGCAGGCCGGTGCTATGTCCGGAGAAGGGTCGGATCATAAGGGTTTATTATACGCAAGCTTACCCTGCATTTCTGCAATAGGCTATTTCTACGGCTCGAATCCGTGACCTCCTGATCACAAGACAACAACTTTATCAGTTACGCCAAAGCTCCCCTTCAGAACGTATATAAAAGAATACGAAAAAATTAACTGATAACATGTCGGCATCCGCGTATTCATCTGAACCTACTACTTTTTATGAGGATTATAGATTTTTATGTAAAAAATTACAAGATTTTCAAATAATATAATTTTAAAAGCACACTGAATTTAGTTGAACAGTATTCGTGATCCGTCTATGTGTAATCTAACTTTTTGAACTACGTCGCGGGTCACTAATGTCTTTAGCTCGAACTACATATATAAAGTTAAATAATTTTTTTAAAAGAACCGAATTATGTTTAGTTCACAATCACGTCACAAAGGAGAGTAACGGGTAGATTGACACTATTTAAAAATTAAAATTATAGTTTCACCCTGCCGGTAAGAGTTACAGTTTCCTAAGGAAATGTATATAGTAATAGTACAAACTATTTTTACACTATGTTCACCGTGTTATTATATTAGACATTTGTTATGACTGTCAATTTTATTTGATGGCGCAAGAAATTTATAAATTATCACTGTGCAGACCTTAAATCTTATTTCTGGGAATTGTTGTTGAGATGAATTTTTATTCTTTTAATTATTCGGTATTTTATACTCACATTGAAATTCCGATTAATTCGAATTCGCAGCACATACTTCATAAGTGGTTGCAATTGACACATGAACAAAGAGTCATTTCACATTCTTTGAGTATTTTATTAGAGCATATAAGCCGCCAAGAATGTGGCGTAGATTGCGGTTGTTTGTACCCCGTGCACAACCCCTGGTAATTTCCTCGTTCTACTATTTCTTCGACTGTCTTTTTCTTTTTCCTCCCACCAATTTAATTTTAATCTAAAACTATTCTCAGTCGACGCACTATTGTTCATTTTTTTTATTTTTTATTTTTTATATTTTAGTTCAGTTCTTTTCCCATTATATATTCTGTTAGGGCTCGTTTGGTACGACAGATAAGAGATAAATAGTCTCATGATTAATTTGAAATGAGTTCATCTCACGTTCAGTTGACATAAAATTACGGTATAATTAATTTCGGGACTAGTTATTCTAGTAATAACTTATTTCACAACCAAACTGTTCGACCAAAAAGTGTTGAGCTTTTTGTTAAACTAATTAATGATAAAGCAGAGGATGAATCTTAGTTAAATATAATAAATTCTAGATCTAATTTTGAAGGATATCAACAGCACGGATAACGCTTCAGGGTAGTGGATATAGATATGAGCTCAATGGTTGTCAATGAATGTTATAATAATAAGAACATGCAGTAAATGTAGGCAATGTCAATACATGTAATAAGAGAGAATTTATCACCCAAATATTATGTGACTTGGATGATTCTTCCACCTGACAACAACGTGGAAAGATGGAAAGTGAAGATGGATAAAGAATCCTTGGATCTAGCAAACAGAGAATGAATAATGTATGTTTAGCCAAGTAGTTAGTGAATAAGACAATATTTGTATATTACTCTTTGTCAACTCTTTACAAAGTCTGCTTATCAAGAAAAGTGAAGATGTCCTTTTGTCCTCTATCTCTACCTATTTATAAGGGATATTCCCAAGAAACCCTAAAAAGTACAATATAAGGAATATCCAAAGGAATATTCCTTGTGTCCATTCCTAAGTTTATCCTACCGTTACTTCTTTACTCCAGTTGCTCGCCCTCGGCAATAATCCTTCTGAGGACGACCCCTCGTTGTAATGCCATGGTCGACCCTGTCCTCGACCTAATTTATCTACAATTATCAAGTCGCCAAATTTAGACTAATACAATTAGTCCCTCCGCTTGTTGAGGTCGTGATCTTGCACGCCCTCGAGAAGCGGACCTGATCTGCGTCTGTTTAGAAGAAATTTGGTTGTGTTGATTAAGTCGAAACGCCCGAGGTCAAAAAAAATAGTGTGGCCAGTGACTGAGTTTGGTGTGGCTAACGTGGGGTGACGTCATAGCCACGCGCATTATCATTACGCGTCTTCCTAAGGCAGTGTCTGTGCTTCTGTCGTTTCGATTCTAGTGCCATTGTCGGTCTGTTACTTCGATTATGATGCCACCCAGCCCTATAAATATATATGGGGCTTCGTTTTTCAAAATTTCTCACCATTTCTCATTTCGTTGGTGCATTGCTCCCCTTTGATCTTCTTCTCCGATCTCCGCTTTCAATTCCTTGCAATCTCTTCAATTTTAATCCCTGACTTCTTACCCAATCAATATCCTCTTCAGATTTCATTGCATACATTCTGCCGCGGAAATATGTCCAACTCTCCTCATATTCACAATGAAGTTTCTGATGCCACTCCATTATCGGTGGCCCTTCCACCCGGCGGTGAGGAATTCATGGCTGAAGAGGAAGAAAGCTTCCCTACCGCGGAAGAGATAGTCCCCAAGAACCCTTTGGTTAGAAATGACTTTCCAAAGGAACCCGCTCCTGCTCCTGCTCAAAAGCTTTCTGAGATGGGACCGCCTCAAATAGCCGACCTCTGGTCTAAATATCGCACTCCTCCTCGTGTATAAATGGACTCAATCCCTTAAGTTGGTTGTCACACCATCTATCGTTGGGAAGAGCCACCCGGTTCATAGAACATTCACCCTTGGAAAGAACCGTGGCATTAAGAAAATCAAAGGCTTATTGTTCACATAAAATATAAAAAAGAAACTACTAAAGGAAACAAGAAGCTATGCTAATAAGGAAAAATAATGAAAGAAGTTATGAAGTAAACTATGGAAATTAAACTGAATATATACAAACTTGAGGTAAAGCGAATATATACATAAATGGAAATGAATATATACATCAAATGATAAAAATATATACATACCAAAAGTGAAAATAACGAATATATACATACCAGCTAAATCCATTAGCTAGGGTTGTGTCTCAACCCTAGTGTGGGTAATTGATGGGTGTTGCCATCTAGTGTGAGATTGACTATGAGTGTTTGCTAATTGGGTTGATTTTATGTGTTAATCTAGAATTGGTGGTTGCAAACACTGATTCAAGCTTTGTGGGTTTAACTCTTCTTGAGAAAGGGAGTCCATGACCCCAAGATTGACCCAACAAGGAATTGAGATGGACTCATGAGAAATAATAGCCCCAATTAACGGGTTAAACCTCGAGAGAGTAATTACCCTACTTGAACCCTAGTTGCTTGGTCTAATTTGCCTACCCATTTGGTCTCGAGATAGTCAATTGGGCAAAATCACTCTCTCTACCGAGAGGTGTGAGAGTGAGTAAAATTATGCAACGGTTATAGCATAAGCCCCAATTATGTCAATCGAACCTTAGTAACATCTACCCGTCAATTAGCCACTTAGATACTGTCACGATCCTAGTGCCCTTCTTCCCATTAGATACAACTAAGCAATATTCTCGTAGCATAATTTAGTGTTAATCAATAGTTTTATAAAAATAGTCATAATTTAAAAACCCAAAAATGTTTGAAGTTACATTAGGAGTACAAACACATCTCTAGGATAGACACACAATCAAACTCCACTACTAGCTCCCTGAGGAAATCGATCCCGACCCTCATATCGGGTAAAAGCTATTGCGACCCGCTCTTCCTACCTTAGTGTAGCGTCGAGTTGGCAGCGATCACTTTTTGGCGCCGTTGTCGGGGAGCTTACGATATTGACTATCTGTTTATTTAGTTTTGTGTTTTGCTTCTCTTTCCTTCTTGTTTACTAATTTTGTTNCCGAGGAATTTTCAAATCACAAATGTTATGTTGACCTTGCTCGAGCAAAGAAGGTATTTCACGGGCGCCTCCGATCAAAATGCCTACAAGCACTTGAAGGGGTTCGTGGATATATGCTGGGGTAGCAAACAGACAAACGTGTCCGAGGATGCGTTGAGATTGAGGCTTTTCCCGTTCTCTCTTCGGGGTAAAGCATTGAATTGTTTATTCAGTCATTATACTCACAGCCTCTCGGGCACAATAATATAAGGCAGGGATCTCAGTCCACATTTTTCTCTCATTTAGGATTAGCATTGATAAAATCGGTTCTTATTGTTTAAACAAATAGAAACATGACTGAGAATATGTTTTTTAACAAGTAAAGTGAGGAGAATTAGTCAAAATGCCCCTAAGGGTTCTACAGGTCGGCACAAGGCCCCAAACATGGCATCTAGCCCAAATCATAATGATATTAAATAAATCTCAGTCAAAAGAATGCGGTGAAATCATCAATCGGGACGGACCAAGTCACAATCCCCAGTAGTAATGGACCCCACGTTCATCATACCGTGTGTGTCTCAACTCAATATAGCACTTCGTTGTGCAAATACGGAGTTTCAAACCCTCAGGACATTATTTACAATCATTACTCACCTCGAACCGG